TCTTTAGTTCCAAATTTTTTGGATGAAAATATACTTTGGGAATTTACCTAAAAATCCCCTGAAGTCATAGTTTGTGGGGTTTTTGGCAAATAGTAGCTCTAAAGCTTATCTACATGTAGCTTATCTTATAAAATCCTACTTGAACTTAGATAATAAGTAACTTTGTAAACATGTTGGTATTCTTTTCATTACTGATTTCTGCTTTGTAACAAACCCTACATGAAAACTGTTTTTAAAATGTTTCAAAACCACTTTTATCCAAGAGTTAATAACTATTTCTTGTTTTCTACACATGCATTTTAGGTGCATTTCATGACTTCTGGTTTACTCAAGTAATTTGCTATTTCTGTTAAACTGTTGAAAATAGAAGAGCTGTAAATAGGATTATTTGACTTCAGCATTAGATAAATAACTGTCATTTTACTTTGAGCATTTTTTTTTCAGTAAGATTTAATAATTTTACAATTTAAAATTGTGTTTACATTTCTATGAGTGTAAATTCTACATAGGTTTAATGCCATTGCCTTGTTTTGGAGTGAACATCAGCATCACATGCCATTGTCTGCATGAAGGAAAGCTCAGCTGTTGTTACTCATGGCAATACGGTCATTTGATGCTGACTCTGTGTCTGCATGAATTTTGTGGCAAGCTGGGGAGAAAATCTTGCAAATGATCCATTGTTAAAGCTGGGCTACAGGGAATGTGTGATAGCAGGTATACTTAACCTGTATTCCACCAGGTACAGCATCCAAGTACCAGCAAATGCCGTTACATGTCACTGTTGTGGTGACCCTATTTAATCCTTGCTCTCATTACTATGATGGATTGTGTCTTCACAGGCACAGTTGGTTGATCTGAAGTCTGAACTGACAGAAACACAGGCAGAGAAAGCAGTACTGGAAAAGGAAGTGCATGATCAGCTTTTGCAGCTCCACGCTGTTCAACTTCAGCTACATGCCAAGACTGGTCAGAATGTTGACTCTGGGGCTATTAAGGCAAAACTGGTGAGTATGGCAACTTGAATGTGAGATTATATATTACTCTTCTTCCTCTCTTGGCTGAAGTTCTTCCTTGGAAGGTGTGAGTAAGCTGATTACAAATTCTCATGTTAAAAGTATTAGCTTTCTTGCTTTTAATAACATTTATAGTTGGTTGTTAGCAACTATTAAAAATAAGTTGAATAATGTCAGATCAAAAAGTAAGGATTTAAGAAGTTTTTGTAAATAAACCATTTTTGTGGTTTCTGAAAAGAAAAAAAAGAAAATGTTTTTATCATTTATAAAGCTTTTCTGAAGACAGAAGTTGCAAAAGATAATAGAAGAAGGCCATAATAGAAGCAGTCAGTAGACTGCATGTTTTTTTGAAACTCAAACCTTTACAAAGCCCACCAAAAGTTAACAACAATTAATCTGTACAGTTAGTTGGTATTGACTGATAGCCTGGGCATAGACTGCCTTGTTACTAGCCACTCCACAAATTTAGGCTCTAATACTATGACTTTGTAAATTAGAAAACACAGTAGTGTTGTATACGTGTGGTTTCTAACAGTTGGTATGAATCAAAGTCTGTCTCTGACTTTCTAAAATTGCTTCACATTTTGGTTGCAAATACTTACTCCCAAAATATGCAGAACATTAGATTGGGACAAAATAGCAAAAGAGACTATTCATTAATCTACAATAAAACATAGCAGTAGACTATAAGTTTTAAAGGATGTCTAGGGTAATCACTGAACAACAGGAGTAACCCAAATTCTTTGTGTTTCAGATTCAAAAGCTGTAATTGATTAGAGCTGTCATCCTAGGACTACATAGTTGTATATGCAGTATAAAATAATTTTCTGGATTGTCCACACATAATTTATTCTGTACTAAATTATGGCTACAGTATTATATATGTATCTATATTATATATATGTATATACATATTATATATGTGTATATATATTATATATATGTATATACAGTATATACAGTGAAGTTTATTTAGAGCTCTAAATAATTCTCATGGCTTTTGAATAGACATTATTTAAATATCACCAGCATTTTTAAGTGTTAGACAGCAGGTTTACATGTAGAATATTTTTTTTTTTAAGTTAACACATTACTGTGAGTGGTTTTGGTCCCCAAATTTTCTTAGTTTGACTCAGCTTCTGACTAAGTCACAGGCTAGTACTTCAAAGCTTTTTGTTTCTTGTTACCTTGTTATAAATAATTACTAAAGATATATTAAATTTCCATGCTATTGACAGCAGTCTTCTTCCCACAGTTGACAATAAATACATTTACATACATTGGTTCAGTTTCATCTGTGTTGAAATTGAACTTTATTAATTGAACTTCAGCTTAGACTGATATTCTCTGCCTAATTTCCTTTAGTTTTTCCTTTTTATAAATGTGAGGACTAATGTTTTGAGTTTGTTTTTGTTTGCCTTTAGGGAATTCATAGGTTTAATGGACAGAAGCTCTACTTTAAACTCTTCTAGATAAAGAAAGCTATGAAAGTTTGCAAAGCTAGAACAAGCAAAACTGAGGCTGCTTAAATGACAATAAAATGGGACCTCTGATGTTTGGGTAAATGAAACTGTTGTGCTGACCTTCTGGCAGTCAGAATGTCTCTGAGGGCAAAGAAGAACTGCGTCAACAGAATGTGCAATGGGGAAATAAAGCTCTATTAATTGACTTCCTCCTTTCTTGAGGGACAGACACTCCTATTTTTTATGTAGACTCTTTAGACTCTTAGCATAAATGTATACTCTATAATCTGTAGAATTGTGAACAGTGGTGAACTAGGACATTTTAAAATGTTTAGATTGCTAAGCAATTGATAATTGTGTAGTTTAGACCAAGTCCATTCTCTAGGAATGGGAATCTTCTTAGTGCAATTATAATAACTCTTTGTGAGAGTATGAAGTTGGCTGGTTGAATATTTTTTTGTGGTTTTGCACTTGATGCCTTTTCTGATAGTTCTACCTGTCCTTTATGTTCCTCTTGTAACTCATATTATGTTGTTCTTTCTGAAAGGAAAAACATCTATTACCTGTATAATGTTATATTACAGATTGGATTTTCTGTAATTTTTTTTCATGTATATTGTATTATTTTGCTATTTATAGAGATTCTTGGTGATTCAGGAGAAGGTATTGTTTTTAATAATACACTAAAGTTATGTTTTTAGTAAGGTTTTTAATAAATCTCACTGCAAAATAGCAAAATTATTGCTTAATAGAATTGTAGCCGTGTGCTTGTTTTTTATGCCATCTAATGAAATATGCAGTCTGCTGGAGAAGTCCTTTTGGACTAAATAAGTTACATTGTTGCATTTTCTTGAAGTTCCTATTGCCTGTTTCTCTAATTATGGAACTCTTTTCTTCTGTCTTAAGTCTGTCCTTTCTGTGGATGAAATGGTAAGTATGCTGATTGCCATTTTTTTATGTTTAAGCAGTGCTTTTGTTTTGTGCAACAACTTGTATATATGTTGGCCTCAGAAACTGGCAAAACAGATCTGCCTTGTTCCTTCTTCCCAACAGTTGGCAAGGTGCTGTGTAAAGAATTTTCTTTTCATTTTAATTTTTCTTTTCTAGATGTGGTGCCCTCTTTCCTAATTCTGTATGCATTCTGTTTATTATTGCCACAGCTAGTTTGTGGTGATACCTGGCAACTTGACATGCTGAAAGATTGTTCTGGCAGTATCTCAAAAAATATTATGGTGTTATACCATTGCTAAAGCATAAACACTGTACACATCTATGAGTGTAATATGAAGTATTCTGCATGTTGTATTTTAAAAAATCCTTTAAACTTCTACTTTTTCCCCTTATTTTTGTCATGGGTATGATTTAATATGGTTTACTGGCTGATGTAACAGCCAAAAGTATATGAACTCAATAATACATAGATAGAAATAAAAAGTGAAGCAAACTTGAATATTTTGTTTTTACATACACTTGAAAGGTTTTTAAACAGCTTTTCTACTTTTATTATGCTACATGCTTCATTATCATTACTCAGTATTTAGCTTTTAGAAAAGCTTCACAATGGCTGGTAACTGTAAGCTTTAGAGTTCAACCTTGCTGTAACTTTTTTTTTAATATTGCCAGCAGAAAATACATTTTCTGTTATCAGAACCTATGCCATACTATGTACACTAGAAAGTATGAAACAAATGTATTCTATTTGTTATATTATGTAACTTCCCTGATTTCTTTAAACATTTTTGTGAGTTTTGTCAAATATTTTTACAGTCACAACAGGACATGCTCTTTCAGGACATCTTCAACGATTCTGTATTTCATGTAGTTATCAGCTGGAGGCAGTCCA